AATGAGGGAGAGGGGGGAGATGAGTAGTTTTTAGTTTTATTTGTTTAGTTTTATTTTTATGTTATTTTTTTAGTTTTATTTTTATGTGTGAACAATTATGCTATGATGGTTTTTTTAGTTTTATTTTTATGTGGTGAACAATTATGCTATTTTATGTGTGTTTTATTTTTAGTTGTTATGCTATGGATTGATGAGTCCTTGTTATAATTGACTAATTATGATGGTTTGAAACATAATTTATACGATTAAATTAACCACACAAATCGACATACATAACCAAAAAAGACACGGGGCATAGGTTGACTTTCTTGTATTCGGTCGACCTCGTACCGGATTAGGTCGACCGAGAAACCAACACTTGATCTCCATTTTACGTCAAATGATTGGACACTTTGATAGAACACTTATCTTCTATCTGGTCGACCTCTTTCCTTATCCGGTCGACCATTTTGTTAATTACTGCCATCAAGTGGTCGACCTATATATTAGGTGGTCGACCATGTTGTTTCTGACGCCAACGAAATGGCCGACCGAGGTTCTATTCTGGTCGACCAAAAATACCAACTTAAACTAAATGCGGTCGACCAGGTGGTCGTGGCGGTCGACCGCAAGGCTTTCTCGTGCTGCCCAAATTAGACTATTCGGTCGACCGCCCTTAGGAATAGGTCGACCGAAAAGTGCATGTCACCGTGACATGCATGTCATAGTAGGCATACCCTAAATTTTAACTATTCCAAATCATGTTATTTTATAATATTGAAGCAATCTATGATATATTTTGTCACATACTCAAACGTGTTTAACTTCATATATGGTGACATATATAATCTAATAATCATATGAATTAACAATCATACGATATATTTTGATTAGCTCATAATTCAGCATTCGAGTTGGCTCTCTCTCTAGCCACAATGTTGAGACATAACTCCAAACGAGCCACCTCACGAGTTCAGATCAACAAACCACCGAGTCGAGCTAGCTAGTTCGCGAGCTTCAAGAACTGAACTATGCTTATATAGCTCATACGAGCATCTTTTCTCGGCAAACAGGCCGGGGGACGGCGGCGCTTTCCCGGGGGACTAGATACTATGACAACACTCCTTGTGTTGTTATTATAACAACACTAGTCTCCAACCAATAGGAAGCTAGGGTTGTGATGACTTTTTATTAGATGAGTTGACCTAGTGTAAAATCAAAGCAGGGGTATAATTGTCATTATGAAAAATATGTTTAAATAATAATAAAAAATAAAAAAATAAAAACATATTTTTTTATTTTTTTTATTTTTTCGGCCCAAAATTTTGGTCGCCGGAATTCTGTCACCGGTCGCCGGAAAATGGTCGCCGATCACCGGAATATGCTTTTCGTCGCCGGAATATGCTATTTTCTCATCGGAATATGCCACCGTCGTCGGAATATGCTCACCGTGATCGGAATATGCTTACCGGCGTCGGAATCTAGTCATCGGGGCCGGAATATGCCTATCGGCGCCGGAATCTACTCACTGACGGTCATCGGCGTTTGGTCAACGATTTTCGTTGACCGGTCAACGGTCTTCGTTGACCGGTCAACGGCCAACGACCACCGGATGTTATGGTCTGCATTGTGAGATTTATGGTTTGGTTTCTCACATTTTTGTATATCTTTTGTGGTTTGCTTTATCGCGTTTGTGGTTTGCATTGAGAAGTTTCTGGTTTGCTTTATCGTGTTTGTGGTTTGCATTGAGAAGTTTCTGGTTTGCTTTAAAAAATTTTGTGTTTTGCATTGAGGGGTTTCTAGTTTGTTTTAATATATTTGTGGTATGCATTAGGACGTTAATGGTTTGTTTTTTCGTGGTTTGATTTACTGTGTTTGTAGTTTGCATTAGGAGATTTATGGTGTGCTTTCGCAAATATTGTGGTTTGCTTTGTGAGGTTTGTGGTTTGTTTTACGGGATTTGTGGTATGCATTGGGAGGTTTCTGGTTTGCTTTATTGAGTTTCTGGTTTGCATTAAGAAGTTTTATGGTGTGCTTTCGAAAATTTTATGGTTTGATTTGTGGGGTTTCTGGTTTGTTTTAATATATTTTTGGTCTGCATTAGGAGGTTTGTGGTTTGCTTTACCGTGTTTGTGGTTTGCATTATGAGGTTTCTGGTGTGCTTTCGGAATATTTGTGGTATGCTTTGTGAAGTTTTTGGTCTGTTTTAGGGAATTTATTGTATGGATTGGGAGGTTTCTGGTACGCTTTTTATGAATTGTTTTACCGTGTTTGTGAATGGCAGGTTTATGAGTGCATTATAAGTAACAACATCTCGTCCAAATCCAAATGTTTGCATCTCCTTGTAGACGTCCAGAGCCTCCTCAAGCTTACCAAGGTTAGCATAAATCGAGAGCAATCTGAATCAAACTCAAACCCCTTAATATTCATTTCATTAAACAACAACATAGCCAACACTACAAGACCCTCTCCTTCGATTCCACCATATCCCCCCATTCTCAACTCAACCACGGGGATCCAAATCTACAATACTCATATATATATATTCAATAAACAGTACACTGCAATGTTCAGCAACAAACCCTTGACATCTATCTAAAATTATAATCGCTAGAAGGAGAGGCGGAGAAGCTAACTGAGAGAGCGGAAACAGAGACGCAGAAGCTTTCGGCGGCCATGGGAGGAGTCGAATCGCGTTCAGTTGATGTCGGAGTCGTCGAAGTCATCCTCGAAATTGTTGAAGAAATCGGCGTCGGCGAGCTTGCTCTCGTTCATCATGCTTTCGTTGAACATTTCGAGCGGGTCAACGTCGTCGACGTCCATCGCCACCGTCGACCCTTGCTCTTCCATCTCCGCGAAGAAATCCATCTGCATCGGCCTCATCTTCCACCAATCGTTCTCAACTGCCACAAAACCCTGGACTGAAAAATTGCAGAGTTGTAATCCCCGTCTTCTCGATTCCATATCCCCCCATTCTCAACTCAACCACGGGGAGATCGTGATTACCCCTACGATCATAAAGGTAGCCATCTTCCTCCCCCTCCGCCTTCGCTCCACCGTCGCGACGCTCCTCAATCGGAGGACGATTTTTTCCGAATCGACCTCGATGGATGGGATTGGAAGAAGAGAGAGCTTGTTCGGAGACTACTGCCATCTCAGCCACGATTTGCTGTCGATGAAGAAGAACGAGGCGGAGAGACGTGACCGCGAAGGAGATTTTCAACTGAGCGGACGGCGCCGCTGCCCAGGGAGGCCGCGTCGAAGCGTTTTGCTCCTGATGGCGCCGGCGACGGGAGAGATGCGGATTGGCACGGCGATGGCAGAGAATTGGGCCGGAGAAAATTGTTGCTCGGAGGTACAGATTCGGCCGCCGCTGTTGCTGGAGAGACAGGGATATAAAACACGTTTAGGTATTTAAATTTTGTTTATTTATTGGTATTTTACTCTTATACCCTTGTTGTTAGTATAACAACACTTGAGGTGTTGTTATACTATCCGGAGCCCTTTCCCGGCTTTATACGAGCATCGAAGGTGGGATCGGGTTCCATCAAATCTGTAAACAGGCCGGAAGTAAGTAATTAAGCATCTTTTCTCGGCAAAGGAATTGACAACATCCATTGTTGTCGGCGTCGCAACCAATACAGATACATATATACCCAAGCAACTTAATTAATTAAGTAGAGTGCTAAGTAAGTAGTAATTTACTTGCCCCATTAGAGTCCCTGAAGAGCAGAATCTTTTTCAGATCCCTACTCCACCACCGACAGGAAAGCACCACTCTGTAACTCTTCTCGCCAGAGCTCCTTTTCCGTTTGACAGTTGACACCGTCGCCGAAGCTACCGTCATCGTCACCACCGGTGCTATCACCATTGCGGCAGCGAATGATTAGATAGAATAGAATAACTTGATACCAACACTACCTCCAACCGAGGCATTCTCAATCCCACAAAGCTCCATCTCAGCATCCTGGAAAACATTCACATTACAAACATATATATATAGAACACAACAAAAGACAAAGACACGATGAGTAGGTTTTCTTTGCTTTACCCGCTCCTCGTTGTATGCATAGACCGCGAAGTCGGCGCATTCTTCAACAATGGAATCAAAGCCTGGCTGGAAATTAAAATGCTCTCGAGGGTATGGTAGTGTCTCCAGGTTGAAATAAATTGGACGGCAACCAAAATAAAAACCCTGCGTATAGAAATTAGGACAGACTAAGAATAGCCAATAATACTAATCAAGAACAAATTACTTTAGGGAAACTACCAATAAAATTTGCAGAAGAAAGTTAGTGGATAGTATAGGAATTAATTAAGGGGATTTTGGAACTTACACCCTCCTCGAATAACCTCCTCCTGTAGAAGATGACATGCAGCCTTAGGGTCTCATCGCCACCGAAATCGTCGTCCCCAAAACCGTAGTCCCCATCGTCGTACTCTTCTTTCATCCCCTTCTTGTCAAGTTTCCGGCAGCTTTTGCATCGGGGAAGTTTGTAGTAGGTCAACTGAGGCAACTCTAGATCGTCGGAGGAGGCCATGGGATCAAATCGATTACCGGCGGATGAAGGACGGCCACTCGCCTGCTCTTCTCTTCTATTCTAGGGATTTCAATTTGATTTTGGAAACCCTCGGGGATGAAGGAACATATATTGAATGAAACTATGAATATTTATGTACTATTAGACGTTATTAGTTTAGGAACAAAATAAAATACATGTAACTTCCTTGGGGATGTTTGTAGTAGGTCAACTCATCAGGCAACTCGTGATCGGAGGAGGAGGCCATGGAATTAGGGGTGGGCATTGGTGCGGTCCAAACCGTTCCGCCCGCTCCAAATCGCTTATGCGGTCAATCTAAACCGCACCATTAAGATTGCAGTTTTATTTGCGGTCTAATCCTAAGCGGTTCGCGGTTTTGTGGTACGGGTCGACCGAAACTGAGCGGTTGCGGTTCAAAACCGCAAACCACTAAATCCCTACCCAGCTCAGCGAGGGATTCTCAATCTCAATTCATACCATTCTCAATCCCTCACCACAAGAGCAAGCGGCGGCGCCATCGACTACCTACCCGACGATTCCTCCATCCCGACGATTCCTCCATCCCGACGACGTCGATCTATCCGTGCCTCTCGACGACGTCGCGCACCACTAAGAGGCGATAGCTCCAGCGCCGACGCTGACGATTCCTCCATCCCGACTCCCGATCTATTCTTGCGATCAGAGCAATTTGTTGAAGAGGACGATTCCTCCATCCCAACTATCGCGCCGACGATTCCTCTGGTACTCTCTTTCTCCCTCCTCTTTTCCTTAATCGGTCTCACACTCTCACTGACCGACCCGCTGAACCCTTTGCCCCTTCGTGGGTTTCCTACTAGGCTTCGTGGGTTTCCATCTATGGAGGCCATTTTCATTCAGACAGAGAAATGGTCTCCCATTCAAAACCGACATGAAATAAATCTTGAATGGGTCAGGTTCAGGATTCATGGCAGGATCTGCTCTGCTCTGCTTCATGGACTTAAATGGTTGATACTGTACACTCTGCATTCATGGCTGCTTGATGACATGATTAATCCACGTATATTATCTCCAGGGTACTTGTTGTTATGGATTTTAGTGGCTAAAAGCAGCTAGCTAATTGTTGTACTATTACCTGCATATATATACCTCCCCAGATACTGTACACTCTACAACAATTAGAAAATATGTTATTAGATGCATTAGAGTCGTAAAATATGTTATTAGATGTATTGGTACTTCCAGCAACTTGTTAATTAAAAGATCCATGTTTCTAACTGTTTTCTTTCAAATTCGATATCAAGCAGTTGGGAAAAAGAAGATATTATCTGCAAAATGAAATCAAAAAGCTCGCAGGGAAAACGAGCTCAAGCATCGGTATCAAGTGGATGTATGATAATGAGAAATCGGCTAGTGATTTGACAAGTGATGTTGAGGACGCTACTTATGAGTTGTATGCTCATTATGAGAATCAAGTAGGTGAAGCTTCATCCTCCTATCAATCAGAACTAGATGAAGATGGTGGAAACGTGGATCTAATTGCGGAGTATATGAAGCAATTGCAAAAAGAAAGAGGTGTAGTCAACAAAACTGAGTTGGATAGGTATTTGAACGAGGAAGTCGAAAGATCAATGGATCCCAAATTTGATGTGCTAGGCTGGTGGAGAGTAAACAGCCACAGGTTTCCAACTTTGTCTCGGATGGCAAGGGATGTATTGGCTATCCCTATTTCTACAGTTTCGTCTGAAGCGGCTTTTAGCACTGGAGGGAGAGTACTGAATGATTTTAGGAGTTCTTTGACTCCTAAGATTGTGGAGGCCCTTATTTGTACTCATGATTGGCTCCGCGCAGACTCTAGTCCATGTGTAGTTGAAGAAGATTCAGAGGAGATCGACAATATTGATGAAGGTAAGCTTTCTTAGAATAAAAATGCTATTAGTTTTGTTTAATGCTCAAGTTGATGGTGACATTTTATGAATTTCAGAGTTGAGCATGGTGTTGAAGGCTATTAACATCTCTGATGTTCCACTTCCTTTTACCAATACCCCTCGTACGAGTCCTATTATACAGGCAAACGCAAACACGTCAGGTAATTGATCTAATAATCTTATTCATTCTCTTTTTTGTGGGTTGTTTTGCTAAGAAGAAAGCACAACTACTTAGTTAAAGTTCTTTTGACTATGTTGATGAGCCAGACTATATTGATAAGCCTTCATATTATTAACAGTTAGTTATACAATGCATATATATATTATTAACAGGTCTTGTATGCTTACATCTTCTTCCAATTCTCAGAGATCCATCAACATTAGCTGCTGCTATCTGGAAGCGAGGCTTGGAGGGGAACACGAAAACAGTAGATGCAGCGACCGAGGGCTGAAATGCAGCTGAATATCTAACTGAATTCACAGTGACCCAAAGCAGTTGTCGTCTTCCTGAAGTTATAGTTTTTAATTATAGTTTGTAGTTTTGCTGGAGGATTTGGCCTTGTTTTAGCTACCATTTAGAGCTCAAGTTTATGGTGTTGGAACTTTGAAATGGTAATGGACCTGTTATCAGATCTACTTTAGTGGGTCTGCAAAAAAAAATTATGCTTTGTTTTTGGAATGCTCTGTTTTCTGTTTTGAGAATAAGATGGACCTCTTGCAAACTAAAAACTTTATTTTCTGCAGCCTTATGCTTGAAGTTAGAGGATTTATAGTTATACAGGCTTTAATTAGTGTAATTTGAGAACCAAGTGTCTTCATGCCAGTTACTTTTTATGAGATTGTACCAGTTCATATTTTTCCATTCCTCTGTTTGTAGTGTACTTTCCATCAACCTGTTGTTGCCTTCTGATTGCATTGCGCATCTGTTTCTAGAATCTGCCCTTGTTTGTCTATGACCAAGTTGAAGCAGAAGACGAGTCCGCCAATCAGCAGAGAAACGACACCCATGCCGAGCCGTCCAGCAAGAAGGGTGGTTACTTCCCCCGCGTAGATCCAAGTCACCGACCCAACTCCAAAAGTGAACGACGACATGATCCCGGCTACAGCAAAAATGCTCAATGTTCTCGCTAGTTTCTGTTTTCTGTTTTGGAATGCTCTGTTTTCTGTTTTCTATTTGTTTCATTATGAATTGCGGTCAAATATGCGGTGCGGGCTAAACCGTACCAAACCGCTAACCTATGCGGTTTGGTTTGATCGCACCGATTATATTGCGGTCCAACATGCGGTGCGGTCCAATTAATATGCGGTGCGGTGCGGTTTGTATCAAAGCGGTGCAGTGCGGTGCGAACCGCACCAATGCCCACCCCTGCATGGAATCCAATCGATTACCGGTGGATGAAGGACGACCACTCGCCTGCTCTACTCTTCTCTTCTATGGATTTCGATTTGATTTTTGGAAACCCTCGGAGATGAAGGAACATATATTGTATGAATATTTATGTACTATTAGACGTTAAATTAGTTTAGGGACAAAATAAAATACGTATCTTATACCTAACTTACAGGTAGGCGTGGCTATACGGTCCGATTCGGTTAAATTTGTCTGAATTAATCCAGTCTCAATACAATTTTTTCGGGAATATAAGGATCAAAGATTGGATACAGTCCGGTTTTGATTCGGTCCGGTCCCAATTCGGTCTTGATTTTAGATTGAACTTGTGGGGATTTGAGTAGCCTGAGGCCTCAAAGGGTGAGAAGTTGGTTAAATTTTGGGTGTTGGGCTCTCTTATCCGGTCTTTATCCGGTTTTCGATCCGGTCCCAAACGATTTTTTACCTAAAATCTGAAGTCCGAAAATGTAATTGAATTGTTTGCTATCCGGTCCCGGTCCGTGTTATAGAGTGTGATTATTGACTGAATCCTTTAAAGTTAGAGATTATAATAATTAATATACAATTAAATAATATATAAATTAATATATAAAAGCTTAACATTGGAGTTATTATTTATTAGTGGCTCTCACACTCCTCCAAGTGCAAGTGGGGAAGTTTCATGTTCTTTTATCACACTCTCTATTCTACAACCTTTGTGTTTAACTACTAGGTTTTCAGCTCCCTATTATAGCAACTATCTACTAGGTTTTGTCTATGGATGTTTGCACAAATCATCGCTTTCGCCCACCATTTCGCAGCTCATCTCGAAATACTGTCGGCGGAATCGTAAATTTTTCCCCACCATCGTTTTCCAAGGGCGCTACCACAAGTTTTGTATCGGGACCGAGTTTCATCCTCTATAGTGTTTTTTCTTTGTCTTTTTCCATTTTGTTGAGCATGCTCACAATTGAACACAAACACATGGGTATCCTAAGTTCAACCCAAATCATTGCCTTTTCGCACCATTTCGCAACCCAACTAGAAACACTATAGTTCAAACTGATTGGGAAAATAAGAGAAACCAAATTATTAAAATAGTTTAACGTAAAGAAATAAAATTATAGCGGTTTCCGATATATTAATGACTAACCGACTAAATCATTTTACGAAAATGAAAGAAAATGCACATGCAAGGGAACCAACTCCTAAAAACCAATTAAAATAACCCTTCTAATTACTCCTCGTTTTCATAGATCACTGCATGTTTTCTTTTTGACTTGTTTGCATTTCTTTCAGCATGAGCAACAACCTCATTGCCACCATTGATAATGTCTTCATCTTCATTAGCATTCCTTATTCTCTTGGGTTTCAGTTATATCTTCCTTGTTTTCCTACATTTTATTGAACACAAAAAAATTATGGTAAAATATATTAGTAAATTGAAATCATATTTTTCATTAGAGTACAATTTACCTCGATACCATCATCATCTATAGCACCGGGTACATTACCTTCAGCATTAACAGTGTCATTCTTGTTCTCCTACATTAGCACTATGAACTTAGATCATTTACATTTAAAAGTACAACATATTTGGTGTTCTCCACCTTTTAATTGGAGGTTGATTTATTTGAATATAATTCACTAAGCCAATTTTGATAATTAAAACATGTGCTCCCTTCGTTCGACCATTGAAGTTATTAATAAGATTAAATAATATAACTAAGTATGACATGTGCCTGATATAAAAATCCAAATTTAGTAGAGAATAACTCCGATTTGTAATAAATATTGTTCATCATTTTTATTGCAATACAATTTACATCGATAAGGTTAGGAAGATCGTCAGTGGTTTGTTCTTCATTGTCTTTCCCTATCTTGGTAATTGTGCACTTGTTGGATTAGCATTGTTATATTTGTGAGTTTTTGATGCCGAACTACAACGTCATTCCCTCAATTTGCAGGAGATGAGCAGGTGGTGGTCCTCTCATTTTGTCGTTGTCTTGGAATAGCCTTTCAGCCGACATTTTAAAAAATCGAGCTTCCACTTTATCCATAACAACAAAGTCAACCTCTCTTGTTTTATCCACAACTCGAAAGTTGATTCTGAATCTGTATAATGATTGTAATGACATTAAAAAAAATTGTTCAAGTACACTCTTATTTTGGATATCTTTATGTTAGTATTTAATTTTATATTCTAATGTGTATGTAAATATTTCGTTTGTATGAGCAATATGCACCATTAATTATTAAGGGGATGTCCCTTTTGGATTCATTAATAATATAATATTTGTGTTCTTCACATAATAATTTAAATTATAATTTGGAAAATTATATACCCAATCACTTAGACATTTATACTCATCAACAAACTATATCAAATCTAATTGCATGTTAATAATGGTTGCATGATTCAACCTGGGATGACAGGAAGCAAGAAAAGAACTTCGAAAGTGGTTACCCATCAACAGTGGCGGATCCAGAAATTTTCTATAGGGGTGTCCTTTTTAAAAAATAAATTTAATAAAAAAAATAATTAATAAAAATAAATTCGTAAATTTGAAAATACCTTACTCGTAGAGGTTAAAAAAGTCCATAATTTGTTTTCAAATTCGGAAATAATTGTAGAATACACTTGGTGTCTATAGTGTTAAAAAAAATTGTCTCTATATACCCTACTAGACAATCATTCACGAACTTATCGCATATTCGATTTGTAAACTTGTTCTGGATGTAACCCAAAGCTGAAAGACTCTTTCAACACTTGCCGTATTAAGGGTAGGTTGAAATTAGTTTAATTGTTAGGTTCTTAAAATAATTAGAGATAGGAAATGACATTTTACAATTACATTGTTCAAAATCGAACAACAAATGAGTTGTAGGTCAACGAAAATTAAGTTTATTAATAAGAATAGTGTTCTAAATGTGAATTACCCAATCTACCACTTATATTCCTATACACAAATGACAGTAGAATAATCATGTTTTCAAATTTCAGGAGTGTCCCTCACTATCAATTTTTTTTCTTTTTTGTCCATACGTAAATTACCACCGGAAATTGGATGATCGTATTCCCAAAATTTCGAACCCCTAGTCCGCCCCTGCCCATCAAGCACTAAGGTTGCAGAATAGAACCAGGTAAGTTCACAACCGGGAAAATGTAACGCCACAAACAAACACAGTTAATTAATACGTCTCTACTTCAAGGTTCTACTTACAATTAACAGTTTAGAGATTTTGGGATCCTAAAGCACCACATTCAGCTTCCGAATAAATCCGACTAAACAAACTCAAAGCCATAAACAAACTGCATAATTGTCTACTAGACTACTACTACTACTACTTATCCTCCTGGGAGTCCCAAACACCATCTTCAGCTTCCGAATCTCCAATTAGCATAAATAGCCAGCTACATAGTTAAAACAAGTGTATTTCAGCAGCCCACAGAGCCTCACAGACACGAACTCCTCCAAGGCTCTCCGTAATCCAGTTAGGAGGGGGGAGGGCGGCGCTTGCCCGGCTTTATGCGGGCATCGAAGATGGGATCGGGTTTCATCAAATCTGTAAAAAGGGAAGCATCTTTTCTTAGGAAAGGAATTGACAGCATTAATTGTTGCAACGAATACATACCCAAGCCACCAGATATAGTGGAACTAAAACGTGCAACATTTTGATACATATACAATGACAACATTCCACTAAAACGTGCAACAAGTTGATACATATACAATGACAACATTCAACAAAAACCACACGAGTCATTATGTAAGCCTTCATAAGAC